GCCTGATGCTGTTGCTGATGCTGAAGTCGATGGTTTGAGGTCCTCAGTCACCGCCGCGTGTGCGCTTGGGGGGCTTGGTTTCCGCTGGTAGGAGCGACTCCGTTAAGCCGCTCGTACCTCCTCACGATTTGTTCGTGCTTCTTCTTGAGCCTAAATTTCCTCGCGGTCAGCATATCGGGCGGTCGTTGGCTAATACCACGAAGGTATTTTGCCGATGCCCTGTATCTCGACAGCCGCTTGCGTAGGGTCTCAGCCTCCGTCATCTCGTTCGTCACAGGTAGTGGACCCGAGTCGACCTGGATGTTGGAAGCCGTGACTTGTGGCTCCACCTTCTGTTTCTCCTCGTTGTATCCGAGTCGAGAGAAGGCCGTAGCCAACTCTGCCTCTGAAACTGAGGGACCAGTGAAGACGAAGCTTCCGTCTGTGGTTCACGGTTCCAGATCCACTACCGTGCCTTTCTGTCTGCGGATCCTTCTGTTGCTTGTGGCATTACACGATTTGGCAGCCAAGCACTCCACTGCCATTTCGGGTTTCCTGCAGTCACAGGATATCGACGCCGGGGGGCCTGCGCTCGCTCCCCTAATCACGGCCGGTACTGGGTCTCCGACCTGCATCTTAACCGTTGTTGCGTTATCGGACATTTCCCCCATAACGGTTGCGTTTTATCCCTACCGCCAGGGTGTACTACTTTTGGCTTCGGCGCTTCCCCATGACCTGCCCGGCTTGGTTGGCCCTTCTGGCAGCATACGTTACTGCCGGTATAGCTCTTGGGTTCCTTACGATTACTAGGCCCCCTCATCGCGGCAAGATGGTAGTTCTCCGAGCCGGTCTACGGGTAAATTTCCTATAAGTTGAGCCAGCAGGCGAGGCTTGCATTTAAAGCAGCGGATACACGATCAAACTGTTTGACTGCAGACCTCCTGAGCGTTTACGATCCAAACACTCTGTCAAAGGATGCTCACAAGTGCTCGTGGGCCGATATGAAAATTTTTATGGTGCAGATGACGAACATAGCTCCGCACGAATTGCGAGCGCTTTGTCAAAAGCAACGGAAACAGGAGCTTTAACTAGTCGCCCCCCTACTCTCAACAACGAAAAAGTACACCAAGTACCGGTGTCTTCATGGATGAATGAGTTCAACCGCGGAAGAACTCTAAAGACCAGCTCTAGAACCTTTCCGAACTTTCTCGATTTCTTCACGATACTCGTGATGTTGGATGATTTCAACAATTTTGCGAAAGGCTTCATCATACTCGGTCGGTGAGACCGTTTTTTCAAACGCTATGCTCGGGTTTTTACATATAAAGCGGAACATATAACAAAACACTCTAAGCAGCTTAAGGTGTGACGAGAATCCATCGATGACATGTACCAAATCCGAAATTTCCACAGCAGCGGTCAGCCTGACCGTGTTCTTCCTCTTCTCCAGCTCAACATCTTCTGAAGGCTCGAAATGAGGGTTTTTAGGCCAGTTCCCTTCTTCATCCTTCAGAAATGATGGTCCTTCAAACCAGATTGACTGGGCGATTTCTTTGACGTCACAACATCTTGACACAATATCTGCAGGGTTCTATTTCGTAGGGCCATGCCGCCACGTAGCTTCATCTGACTACTCCTCAATCTCAGCTACCCTATTCGAAACGAACGTCGACAACGAAGATGGACGCGACCGAATCCAGTGAAGACTTACTTCAGAGTCTGACCAATAAATAGCCCGTTCAATAGGGACCTTTATAACGGGCTTGATTCTGTGTGTTAGGTCCTATCTCAGGCTGAGGTATGCATCAGTCTGTCCAGGGTCCGCTACAAGAAATTTGTAGATTGCAGGTGACTTCAGGTGTCGGGCTGGCTTGTAAAATGCAGTAGGCAAGGGAAAAATGATGACGCGAGAGTTTGGGTTTGGTGGTTTCTTGGTTTATTCACTACTATTCATTCACTTAGTTCCTTACGTGGTTACTCTGGCTTGTAGTTGTATGGTGCGCTGGTGGACTGCGTATTGTGGTGTTTTGCGTTTGTGACTGCCTAGTGCAGTGTCTTGTGTTCTTGGCCTATTTTTTTTTCGGTCTGATGTACTGCCTAGTGCAGTGTCTTAGGTGTGTGACTGAGGGACTGCCTAGTGCAGTGTCTTAGGTGTGTGACTGAGGGACTGCCTAGTGCAGTGTCTTAGGTGTGTGACTGAGGGAATGCCTAGTGCAGTGTCTTGTGTTCGGGCTGATGGACTGCCTAGTGCAGTGCCTTGTGTTCGGGCTGATGGACTGCCTCCTCTTTCGGCCGATCTTGGCCCTTTTATGCAGCTGGCGATCGCACCTGAGACCCGGAAATAATTGCTTATTGCTAACTTTTGATTATTGGGTGACAATAATTGTGGGGCGTGGTAAGTGGATCGAAGCTGGGTGCTTCGTTGACAATTGCTTAGTGGGTCAGTGTGTTTTGATGAGAGTGTTTTGCTGAGACTGCATCGCAATAGGTGCGTGCTGCAGTTGGGAATTCGGTTTTTGCTACCTCCACATCGCGAAGGTGATATCTGAATTTGGGTCGATGTTTCGAGGTCAAGTGGTTGCGAAACATCGCCAAGAAGTGGGTGACCGAGAATTTCGTGCTGTGTTTTTTCGCTGATTGCGAGATAATGCAGAATGGGTTGAGTTGTTGATCGAGAGTTCTTAATTTTAGTAATTGCGTGCGTTGCTTAAGACTATTTTATTTTCCGGATGTGCTGACGCACCGCTATTTGTGGAGAACCGTAGTTCGTTGGCTCTGTGTATATCAGTTTGATTATTGTTGCCGACACTCCGCCGTTTGTAACGAGCCATGGCTAGAACCATGGTTCGCTACATGTGACAGAAATTCGCGGGAAGGTGAGCGGCACATAACTCAATCCGTGGGAGCGTTTTGGTCTTGAGCGGCGCTACTTTGGGCTTTGAAGCCAACAATGATATTTTTAAACCTTCTGAAGTTCTGCTACGGATATAGACGCACGCTCCAGTAGCTCTCATGGAGGCGTCTGCGAAGGCATGTATCTGGACCGAGGTATGGATATCTCTTCCAATTTAGACAGTATATTTTTCAACACATGCTGTTTTCAAATACATCGGAATCGACTCATCTCAATCTAGTTTGCTAAGCCACAGTTCCTGCAATAGTATCTTGTCCTTTATAACGATAGGACTTAACAATCCAAGGGGGTCGAACGACTTCGATGTCTCCGTTTTGTCGCTCGGAGACCAAAGACTAAGACTAACGCCTTAGTCGATGCTGAATCCGAGATCATTATGGGCTTTGCTGTGCTCTCAGATGCGGTGATCTCAGGTGAGTTCGAAAACCACTTCACTAACTCAAACCCTGCGGTCTGAAGAACCTGAGATACTTCGGACTTAATTGCCCTTAGCTCCTCTCCGCATGCAGCATCAGTCAACATGTCATCAACATAAAAGTCGGATCCAATAACGTCAGCAGCTTTAGGGAATGATAGCTTTGCAGACTCACTCAACCTTTTTAAACACCGGATAGCCAAAAAGGCCGCTGGTCCAGTCCCATAAGTCACGGTTTTACGCTTATATAATCTCAAGGACTCAGATGTGTCTCTTCTCCACACTATCATCTGGGCATTCGGGCATTCATTGAAGACCATTTGGATCTGATTTAAACGGCCGGCTGCCTTCAAACCGACCTGATGACAAGTCTTCTGAAAGTGATTTTCAAATAACGTATGCTCAGGCGAAATAATTTGCTTTGGAGATGGCATTTTTTCGCACGCAAACGCACTAAAACATGAGCCTGTATGCGTGCCGACGCAAACCTGGTTTTGCCGACCCTTCATACATTTAATTCATGCTTTAAAATGACATCGTTCGGAGAAAGAGAAATAGGTTGCAATGCTGCTGCAAATGGTCAACAATTCAATTCAACAGTTCAAAAGACAAGTGTACCCACAAAGTGGGCTCATTGATGCCAATGCCAAACGAAGCAAATCAGTTTTTACAAATATACTTCATGGGTGGTGGGGACATAAATCGTGTAATCGAGCGGCTACCATAATCTCAATTCGCTAACAGCCAGGCACACAGTCGGAAAGCTAGACGAACTACTGAATGAGCACAATCAACTATTGAAATGATTAAAATCACTCATGCACAAATTGGAAAGTGATAATGACGATATTGTCAGCAATCCTGATAAAACACCGGATAGAGAGAACTTGCGTAGATTCAAAGATCCTTTTGTTGACAACCTTGCTGGGTTCAGGGTTTGTGACCATACGAGAAATTGTGATTCAAAGAGGAAACAATAATCTTGAGTTCATCGCCGACACACCGAAAATTTACTGAATTACTAGGCGATGGAGAAGTTGCTATAAAATAACAACCAATAGATTTCTGAAAAATTTCTGATGCGCAAAAAGCTCTCATTGAATGAGTATTCCTAGATGTACAAACACCATACTTAAATCATGCATAGCTGGTAGAAAGAAACATTTTAGCAGCAAAAAATGTGGATGTCAATTTAATCTTCAAGATAGAGCAGTTGTTGCTAGGCGAGGTATCATACATCATGACACAGTTTGCGGTGAGAACAAAGTTGTAAATTATCAAAAAAAAATTTTAACTTCACTTGATTTGGCAGGCATTCCACCACATGTTCTACGACTGAAAGTTGGATCATGTTGCCAGCAGCAAATGGTTTGCCAGATCAGTGAGTTGGGGGTTGGCAAACGAGCGAAGCGAGTGCGCAGGGTGCTTGCCCCTAGTAATTAATTTAAAATATGTTTACCTTCAAACCGATCAGAAAAAGTGTGTTTAATGCCAGGTTGTTTTGGCTGTTGACTAGTGTTATCAGTCCAAAATAACTTTTTGCTTCGCGCCGCCTCAACTTAGACCCAAGTGTGAGATTGCCATTTTATCCTAGTAGATTATTGTTGCTTAAGGTAGGTATATCTAACTACTTACTGTAGCTCTTAAGGTCTCTGAGACCAACGAAATTCATGAAAATTAAAGCCGTAAGAGTCATTTTATGGCATTATTTATTTAAATATTATTCATAGAAATTTACCAGTTTATGAAGTCTTACATTAGCTTGGTTTCGAAAACGTTCTTTCTTAATTTGAAATAATTTATGGCCTTTCGAGTTGACATAAAATGGATACGTAGCTGATTTTTGCAATACAATTTTATTTCCTAGTGTAAAGTGCATAATGTCGACAGCATGCTTATTATTTTCTTGTATTAAAGACATTGGCGCAATAGCTTTTATTTCTGTATATCCATTCCTTGCATTTCGTTGCTCAACAATATTAAAATTTGTTTCATTGGCAATGTTTTGATACGATTTTTGTCGCATTAGACCAATAATAAAAGCTTTAACTATATGCTGAAGATTTGTAGAACCTTCAATTTTTGCGTATAAATCTTTTATTCCTATAACCTTGCAAATAGTTTGTATTGCACGATGGCATATTAATCCATGACCTTCAGGTTTTTTAAAACAATATATCTTTGTCTTTCCAAAACCAGTAAAAAAATCATGGTATATGGTCCTGTTTTCACAAAGACTAATATTGATTAATTTTTGACCTGCTCGATTTTTTGACTTTCGAAGCGCAGTTCGAACTTCTGGGGCTTTAACTGTTGCAAACCCTGCCAACCCATTACCATTTCCTGTGACGGATAAAACAGAATATCTACGCTTCCTTCCCATATTTCCTTTCATAATAAAAACAATTTTATTCTCCAATACCCGGGTATCAAATGAACTGAATTCTTCTTCTCCCACAGTATCAGGGGGGCCAATGCTTCTTCCTGGCATTTTGCTTCCAGACCATCCACGATCTATTGAATTTAATTTCACCATTCTAAAGTTACTCAATGAATCACGCAACTTAAATATTCCATTTTCTCTGTCTAAGTTGTCAGAGAGTTTTTGTTGATATATGAGCTCATTTCCACGAATTATTGGCGAATTTAGGCCGGGCCATATGCAATTATTTTTCCCAAGTCCTATAGTTTGTCCTTTATTTAGGTCTTTTGCCACTTTTTTTCCACTTCCTTTTCCACGACCTCTTTTCTTTCCAGCATTGCTGACTGCAGTTACTCCACGCCAAATGTCCTCGGCCGGTACTAAAAATACAAGAATGTTGTTTTTCAGTTTTGTTTTTTCGGTTATTGGTTATAAGTAACATGCATATTTTCTTTTGACTTAAGAAACGATTTCTTAAATAGAGCGTAAATTGCAATAACCTTGTTTAATAAAGTTGCCCAAACACACATATTTTATTTCTCAAACTTAACTGATCAAATCTCTGTAATTACTCAAATTAACTCTATAGAAACATCGTCATAATTACATATTATTCAAGGATTTTGACATTTGTGAACATATACATATGCACATATTTGGGAAATTCCGCCAAAAGGTCCACCAGGCCAAAAATCATAAAAAGTCAATAAAAACTGATTTCCTTATAATTTGTTCCGGATATTATTTTTTAAATTGATTGAAAGTGTAAATTTAGAATAGTTTTTCTAAATGCGAGAGACCGAAATACTGTGGGTAGTAGTTGATTGAAATTGATTAATTGAATTGATTGCAAGTGTAAATTTAGAATAGTTTTTCTAAATGCGAAAGACCGAAATACTGTGGGTGGCGTAGTTTTATTAAAATGCTCGATCGAATTCAATTTTGCGATTATATTCTAATACGAGAAGGACCGTGTGAGTCGCTTCTACTTATACCCGTACTCAGTCAGTATATTCATTTTTAAGCTTATAATTTAGAATTTTAAAATTAAAAAAAAAATTTACATTTTACATTTATTTGCTACATCTATTATCTACCTCTACAATGAACATTTTACATCTAACATGTACATTATATATGTACCATTTATATTCTACATCTCCTCCGCTAGGGGTTGCTCGCGCACTGAACGAGGCAGAGTGTGCGAGCGAGAAAGAGAATCAGTAGCGTCAGCAGCGCTGGAAGAGGGGGAACCAACAGAAAATTATGATCCGATCTGATTCAGATTCGGTGATCTAGTAGATATGGTCATTCTCTACGATACAGATTTTCGTCCTTTGTGGGGGCGGAAGGGGGCGGGGCGAATCTTTTAAATACACTTGTAGCAGTGTGATATAACATGAGTCTGGAAACCAAATTTGGTTTCTCTAGCTCTTATAGTCTCTGAGATCTAGGCGCTCATCAAGACGGACAGACAGACATGGCTATATCGAGTCGGCTATTGATGCTGATCAAGAATATATATACTTTATGGGGTCGGAAACGCTTCCTTCTCTGCGTTGCACACATCCACTTTTACCACAAATCTAATATACCCCTTAACTCTTTTTTGAGTACTGGTATAGAAATTGCCTACGGTCGCGAACGTAAGCTATTTTGAAAATCAAAATAAAAAGTATGGTTAATAGTAGTCCCAAATTTTTCTTATATTTAAATTATTTACACCAAACTTGCTTAACACATGTAGTTTCAGCCACCTGATTCAATGCATTCAATGCGAAGCAATTGCAATAAAATTATGTTTTCGGTCGCGTTAACCGTTAATTGAACTTTATTTCGGTCTCTGCATTTTTCTCTTCTTAATAGATTAAAAGAAAGAGATTTGGTGGAAAGAGTGCAAGCAAACATATCATATGTTTTGCATGTGATATAATTAAATATACAAATGCCTTTAAAAGTAGCTAAAAGGGAAGAAATACTTTTTTTCAGATATACTATGGTTCCATTGTATTATGAAAATTTGGCCATTTCTTTATAAGTATACACAACACGATAAAGAATGTGTGAGTCGCTTCTTTGGACGCGACTCTACTTTTATACACGTACTCAGCCAGAATATAAATTTGTGAGCTTATGATTTATGTAGAATTTTAAAAAATTTTACATTTTACCTTTTTTTTTGCTAGATCTACATCTACAGTTGTGTTCAATGAAATAGTAGTGCCGCACCTCATCACTTTCAAAACTCTATTTGAGATATTTCCAGTTATCCAAATTGAACAAATGATACCTTTTTAAATAGACTGGACTGTTAGCATTAGAATTGCGTCTTTCCAAACTGAAGTCGTGCACCCATGTACTCTCAGACCCAAACGCGGATCTTTCTGGGACTTCTTGCATTCAAATAATGTGTAATCAACCGTCTAAGAACCGTCACATCACTGACAGAGCGATTTAAAATTTTTTTCATAATTTTTGAGGATATTAAAGGCCTGGTCTTGCCTTCGACCATCGCCGACCATCCTCTAAAAAATAATTTTTTCGCATAAAAAATCGATTTCCAGTCTACTTCTTTTAGTTAATTGGGTTAAATACAATAGTGAGAGTGCCTACAACTTAGTTTTCAATCCAATTATGCCTCCTGCCTTAAGTTTTTAGTCTAACTCTTAGGTCTCCTCTTCTGGACCGAGCAATGATTTCTTCAACGCCTCAAAATCAAAAGTACCGCTATGTCCAAAACTTTCTTTCATCAAATTATTCAATAACCAAATTGAGCTTACGGATGGTGACTTATTTAAAAAAATTTGCTTTGCTTTTTCATTTTTAAAAATTAATTTAACCCAGCACTACTATTTCATTGAACAGCAGATATCATGGGTAGTTGTCTAAAGTCATAAATAACAAGAAGATAGAATGCAAATGTAATGGGGTTTCTTCAAGTTTCTAATGCTTACATTCCAGGCTTTCCGTAAAGGTATCACTTGTTCAATTTGAAAGACTAGAAATATCTCAAAAAGGGTTTTGAAAGTGATGAGGTGCGGCACTACTATTTCATTGAACACAACTGTACATTAGGTTGAGCCAAAAAAGGTTTTTTGAAATTTAAACGGGACAACACCCCTTAATTTTGTTATCTTGGGTGTGATAGTAATATTAAAGTTTTTATTTTTATTTAAAAAAGTTTGTTGGAGGTTGGTTGGTATTTGAAAAACCCGAAGAATTCAATTTTTTTTAACGTATAATGTTTAGTGTACCAAAAAGTGTATTTTCTTTTCGTGGTAGCAAGCCACAAACATTAAACTAAAGATTTTAAAAAAAATTGTATAATTTTATTTACTAACAAAGAACAGGATAATGGGGTGTCCGTTTGATTTAAGCAATTACAATACTCAAAAAAATTGAACTTTTTATTTAGGCTGTGAACCAAAATGACTTTTGCTGATAGATTTCGGGATTTAAAAATTTTTGTAGCACTTTTTGCATAGAACTTTTCAGTTCTGAAAAGCTGACAAGTGCAGCTATAAAAAATTGTCTTTAAAGAAAAAGTAAAGACAGTTTCACAAACTTTTTAATTTACAAGAAAATTAAATATTTCCCTAAATCGGTTAATTTTGGCTGGACACAATAATAGGTGTACGAAGATAAATGTTTAAATTAAATCGATATTTCACTATTTTAGGTCTTGTTTTATATTAAATTGAGTGTCTGGCAGCTAATACCCGGTATATCCGCCATTATTTTGCACGAATTTCTCCATTCGTCTTGGCATGGAGGATATTAACTTGCGAGAAGTTCCAATTGGAATGTTGTACCTCCTCTTTGGACAATATCCCAAAGTTGATTTTTATTTTGTCATTTTGAACTCTCTTTTGAGTTCACCCTAGAGATTCTCGATTGGAATTAGGTCCAGGGATTCACTTGGCCACCCAAGAACATCCACACTTTGCTCTCGGAACCAATCCTTTACTACTCGAGAGGCGTGCTTCGGGTCATTATCCTGCTGGAACTTCCATAAAAGTGGCATATTATCCTCGGCATATGGTAGCATCACCGTATCCAATAGATCTTTGTATACGAAACTGTCCCATATTCCGTCAATACGATGAATCGGACCAACACCGATGAAAACCATGAAAAGCAGCCCCATACCATTAGGCTACCACCTCCATGTTTCAGTTTGAAATGTGTACCTCGGATCAATTTCTTTGCCTTTCGGACGACGAACATTCCTTTTGGCATCATTTCCAAATAAATTTACCTTGGTTTCGTCAAATTTTTTCCTCATCTGTAAATTTTCCGAACGAAGCAAAGGAACCCTACGAGCAATCCTACCTGGTAGGTTTGCTATTGCCAATCGTCGCCGAACGGTCCGTGATGACACAATATTCCCAATTTCGTTGGCAATCGTCCTGAAGGACTTGAACGGGTCGCGTTTAACCAACTGAACCATGCGATCGTCGGTCTTAGACGGTCAACTCATTCAGCAAAAAAATTTTGTTTGAATTTTCTTGATTAAATTTTTTTTGTGAAATTCGGAACAACCTCTAAAAAATACAAATAAAAACATGTAAATTACTATTAAATTCAAGGTAACAAAAACTTGTAACAGTGTGATATCGCATAAGTCTGGAAACAAAGTTTGGTTGGTCTAGCTCTTATAGTCTCTGAGAACTGTACTGCCGCAGCCCACACACGGTCCGGATAGGCAATTATCGATATAAATCTGTAGATTCAAAAAAAAACGTAAACGAAAAATTCCTGGCACAGTTTTTATACCCGTACTCAAAAAAGAGTTAAGGGGTATATTAGATTGGTGGTAACACCTAAACCTACCTACTAGTCTTGATAAAACATACATTGACGTAGTAAATAATGTCTAAGCCCGGGGTCGGCACGCAGACTCACACATTTTTTAGTGCGTTTGTGTGCGAAGACAACAAACACGAAGATAAAAACGATTTTAGCTTCTCTGCCGCTGCGGCACACAGTATATCGAAGGGTACCTTTTTTGGACAAAATTGTGGCGAAGCTCAAATGTTGTCCGATTTTAGTAATTTTTTTTGTTAAAATACTCATAAACTCTCTAAACCTAACATTAAAACGTCATCAACTTTCATGATATTAAAAAAATATATTAATTTTGTACAAAAAAGGTACCCGTCGATACACTGTACGGCAGCCGAGTATGTGCATAGGCCACACGAATGCTTCTCTGCCGCTGCGGCAGCCGAACGCAAAAAAGTTTGTTGCTTCGCACTGAAAAAAATGAATTCAGATAAAGCAAAATGTTTTGCGCCAAACAAAGGAAAAACTATTTAGAGGAAACTTTAAAATGCTATTAAAATACTAAAGCATAATAATAAAAACAAACAATGCGCACGCAATCCATATATTCAATAGAAAAAATAGATTTCTTGTGAGAAATTCTCACAGGATGTTGAAAAATTGTTTCAGTGCAGAATCAAATGTAAACGCAACAGATTCTGTTCTCTGCCGCTGTGGCAGCCAAGCAGAATATGAAGCCATTTGTGCATAGCCTGATACTTGCTTCTAAGCCGCCGCGGCAGCCGAGCAGAATAATGAAACCACACGAAGTTCTTACACTGTGCGTGTGCCGACGACTGCGCTGCCAAAAATTTGCAACATTTTGCAACAACTATTAAACAAGTTAGCTGCAATTAAAAAATATATTAATTATAATGTGATGGTACATATGCTAGAACCCATTTGAATTTAGGCAAAGACTATACAATACCAAGATGCGATTCTGCATGAGTGACCCAAAAAGCTGTTCTATGGCGGGGTTCATTGCTACGCCCCATAGACAGAGGGAGCGCTCGGAGTTTATTAATGAATATCCAAAGCGCTCATCAAACTTTTAGACTTGTGCACCCTCTTTTGGGCAGAGTCCATATATCATATATGTACAATGGTTTACTATTATTACCAGCCTACTTTTGCGCGTAAGCTAAGACTATGTGTATTTTGTTATTAGATCTGGAGACAGAAAGCGATCACGGGTATTTCCTTCGAACTTTTATCATGTGCGTCTCGCTGGTTTCGGTAGTCAAAAACGACAACAGAAAAAAATAAACGGTATATTAAAAAATATTATAATAGAACGTCTGTAGCCATAAAATGCTAGATATAGCTTGTCCGAATACATTGAAATCATTTAAATTAAACTATTTCACACAGACATGGACCAATAAACTTATATGTCCAGAATGTTTACGAAAAAGTGTCATGAATCTTCAATTTTTGGGGATTAACGATCCATTCTCAATGCCCAAAAAAAACCTGACAAAAATTGAATAACACTTATGTAGAAAGGGCAAAACCATATGTAACTGAATTGATTATGACATCGGAAACTATCTACATACATACAAGAAATTTAACTTACGTTTGTTAAAAAAACTAGTATTCCGCAAGAAAATATTTGGTATAAAAGATGGATGGATGTTACATAGTAACGGACTATTAACAAGAGATGTTCTCACAGTTTGACAAATGGTTCTTAACGTAGCCTGATTCATTTTGTAAGACTGATAGAAGAACAATGTATGTTTAAATCGCATCAATAAATAAATTAATCGATATTTAAATTATTTTTCACATGCGATATTTTTTGAGATATGTACTTGAATTTTTTTAGTGATTTGTGGTACTCCTGCTTTAATTTAATAGCCTATTACCACTCCCGTCGTAAGACTTCATATTTTCTTGGTGTGTTCTGTCGCTCGACTCGACGCGGGTCGGGTCGAGGCATTTACGAAGCCGTTCATAAAATATTTGTTCGTTTTGTTTTGAAAAGCTGATGTTGCGTCGGGCGCGCGGGGTATTTCTTCCATTCTCTTTTAGGCTAGCCTTTGCCTCTGCTTTCGGCTTCGTCAATGCCTCGACCCGCGTCGAGTCGAGTCGAGCGACAGAACACACCAAGAAAATATGAAGTCTTACGACGGGAATAGGTCCAGGGCCGGATTAGCAGTTGCCTAGGGCCCTCCTAGAAATAACATTCAAATTTTGTTGAAAAACAAAACTCCAAATAATGAATAAAAAATATAATAGCCAAGGAGGGCCCCAAATTGATGGTTGCCCAGGGCCCGGTTGAGGGTTGATCCGGCCCTGAATAGGTCGCTACATCACATCAGCCCTCAAAACAAAACGAAAAACCAATTCAAGCGGCCAACAATTGTAGAGCCCACACACAAGCACAGTATGTGTGAATACATGGCACACACACATTTACGTAACCTGGAAACGAAACTCAAAACGGTATCGGAAAATAAGAATTGATGCAAAATTTTGTCGTGTCTGTTTACACACATACATTTGCAATTCTCAGCTTGCTTTCGCTTCCCGACATGAGTCATACATGCCGAACGGCCCAGCTCCCGACCCGAATGGCCTGGCTCCCGACCCGAATGTCTCAGCCTCACAGAGCCGAAGCGCTGGGAGCCGGGACAGAACACTCAGCTTGCGCCCCTTTCGTTGTATGAACTGGCACATGTATATACTGTATGGTTAGTGCTATTACTCAGTTCCAAAAAATGTTTGACACCAAAATGTGACATATAGTGTTTTAGTGGCCAGTGGTGTGGACCAGAGGTGTGCACTGCATGTCGTAACTTATGGGCTGTTTACATTGGGGCTGCGTCATGCTTCTTTGCGTCTTGCCGGAGACGCAGTTTTTTGTACAAAGGTTAAGCACAGGGCCCTAGTGGTGGCAAAAAGTTGCGTCGGTCTCTGATTCAAGTGAGTGTGTTTGATATATTCGATTGCTTTTGCGCTTAACAGCACATTTTTGCACTTTTCTGCCTATCAGCTCAACTATCACCACTAATAACAAAAAAAACTTGTAGATTAAACATCAAATTTTTGCGCTCAAAAATGTATGGTTGTGCAAAAAGGTGAAAATATATATAAAATCATTAAATAAAATACTTGAAACTGATTGTATTATTATCATACGACATTTTTTTTGACCCCCTGATACCATTTAGACACTGCTGGAGACGAAATTCGATGGTTTTCATAATTTGAAAAAGAACTCCCACAAACTCTATAAAGAAATGTCTGAAAATAATAAATAAATATGAGAATCAATTCTCTTGCATCCATTTTCTTGTCGTCTTGCATAATTCTGTTGATTTCAAAAAATTTTTTTTCTTTCCTTGTCATCAAGCACCCAATGTAAACGCCTTTTCTGCTTCATAGCGTCTATTCCGATATCGATAGCAGACGCGCCCAGTGTGAAGAGTGTAAAAAAAACTCTTTGTGGAGTTATTGGAAGTTCTTCTTCAAACAAAACTCAATTTTTAGCGCCAAAATTTAATTTTTGATTTACAAGTTTTTGTTGTTATTAGTGGTGATAGTTGTGCTGATAGGCAGAAAAGTGCAAAAATGTGCTGTTAAGCACAAAAGCAATCGAATATATCGAATAGACGCACAAGAATCAGAGACCGACGCAACTTTTAGCCACCACTAGAGCCCTATGTTTAACCTATGTAAAAAAAACTGTGTCTCCGGCAAGACACAAAGAAGCATGACGCAGCCCCAATGTAAACAGCCTATTAAATGGCATCAACATGGTTTTTACCTCGTTTTGAATGAGTTAAATGGGAAGTGAATTTAACCAAATCTCTAGCCATAATACAGAGATTTTAAAACCAACCTAGAAAGCATGCTGTGGCACCTAGCAAGCCAACTGAGTTGGAATTCGGTCAGTTTGACAGTCTGTGGCACCCCTGATAATCGTTATTCATTCGACTGCCTCAATTATATTAAATTTGTCGTCATAACTGCCATTTTCTAACCGACTTGAGCTTGTTTCGCTGGTTTACTTCTATTTTTAATGTGTGTGTGTCTTTTGGACGACGGAAGACGTGATGGGAAAATACAGTCGTTTGCTATGCTAGTACCTATCGACTTGTCTTTTTTCCGAATTTAATACCGGTCTGCGAAACGTCTGCTACGAAAATTTCGGTCGACCGAAATGCAGGCATGCATTTTTATTGTTTTCATACGATTGTCATTCCTGATTCTGTCGACATAAAATTTAGCGGGTCTGATTACTAGACTTTTTGTTTAACAGAGACTTATCGATAACCAAATCGGGATGCGAAAATTTTTGTTGCATACACATATTTTTTCACATTCAATTTTGAGGTTGGGAGTTTTTCAGAGCATTCATACAAGAGTTCCCAGAGGATAGTCCACTAAACCGAATTTTTGTGCCTGAGACAATTCTGACATATCATATGTTAGTTTGTTTTTTACAATTTTCCTGTCTATCCTTGTTTACATATTCATAGTGTATTGCACTTTTTCGTTGTGAATGTCAAATATTTAATGTTTCATTTGACAACTATCGAAAAAATACCGCACAGAAACGTGCGAATTAGGAACATCCCAGATGAATGGTGGAATAACTGGGAAATCTTCAGAACCTTACGGGCCATCCCAGAAATGGATGGTGGATGGTCGTCAGAGTGAAAAGGCTATAAGCATATATTAATTGGTTTGGTTCGAAGCGAAAAAATGGTGTCGGGTAGTAATACAATTAACAGGGCCTGCGCTTAGCCGAACAGAGTTATTTTAACATAAATGCAATGGCAGTATTGTTTAGAAGTGGTTTGTTTATTCTGTTTGGCCACCTTGTAGAACTACAGCTGACAGCAAATGTTTTCGCAATTTGCATAAAAAGTACGCAAATGTTTGAGGTAACGGAAGGTTAACTACCATATGCTTTTTTTTGAATGCTTAATTAAAAAAAAAACAGATTTCTATAAATTTAATTAATATTAAATACCTTACTACGAATTTGGTTTAATAAAATCCGAATCAAACTAGGTGGTAAGCTCGAACGACCGCTGATTGCGTGCGATTTGAAATCAGCGAAAAATCGGTGTGTGGCACCGCGGAATGGGTATTTACATATTTTTACATTGATACTGAAATGGATGATAAAATACGAATTGCGTAGTCAACAAAAAAAAGGATACCATTGATGACATTGATAGTGTTGTAACGAACCATGGATCCCATATAAATAATATCCAATAAATGTATTGTGAGGACCTATCTCAGGCTGGGATATGCATCAGTCGGTCCAGGGTCCTGAATTACGAGATATTTGTAATTCACGAGTATTTTATTGGGAAAACCGGGAACCTTGCCAGCAACTGAAATAGGACGGTTAGCGAAATCACAACAGTTGTTGGTTCTTTAAAGTTTTAATCGTTTTGTTTATTGTTTCGGTTTATTATGCTACTTGATTAGTTTGACTGCTTGACCGCGTAGTGTATGTTACTTCTTGAATCCTGATGGACTGTCTCTTGGCGCGTTTGTTATTTGCTTGACTGCTATGGTTAATGGACTTCCGATCGATTGCCGATTGACTATGGCTGATGGACTCCCTATCGACTCGAAAGCGAACTGCCGATTTGCGAACTCATTTAGTACAGGGGAAACTCAGATATATATAGCGTTTTCCCTTTCTTGATAGGGAAAGTGCAAGTGCTAGACCAGATCATGACCATTTCGAAGGCATGTTAGGGCAGACTGACCGAATTGCCCGTGCCCTACGCGAAGCTACGAAATAGAGAGCGAGAGAGTGTTCGAGAGAACGAGAGAGCTAAAATGATCGATAGAACGAAAGAGCGACAGAGCGAGAATGATAGAAAGGAGAAAAGCGCGAGACGAAGAGACAAAAAAACGGTTGAAACGGCTATTACAGTGAGGTGGCGGGTGTAGATACATGTCGATTACAATTAGGTACAGTGGGCAGTGCAAATAACGAACAAATAACAGGAATTACTTTAAAGCTGCACCGCTGACTAAACATACTAAATAATGCTCGGCTGGGAGACTGAAAAACGTCTTTATATCTTTCGACCTTTGCTGCGTCTTTGAATTTGTTGGTGTTGATATCTTCACCTGGGAGTAGCGTTGGTTACATCGACTGCTTGTGACGAACCATGGGATTCATGGTTCGTTACAGTACATTCTGAAAACATGTTCCCTTCCCTCTTACCATAAAAACTTAAGAAAGAAGACGAAACGCAAAGTGCCAATGAAATTCCTTTCCCACGGTATAGGCGTACACCCATCGCCTCACCTGGGACATTGGACACTTGTTGGGAGGCGATTGCCTTAGATAACCCTCGGGTACCAGGCAATCCAATCACACGCGCGAGCCCGCCAGTAGTCTCCGACTCCCCTTACAGAGATTATTGGTCACTGGCTGGAGGGCTGATGATTAGGTAGCCCTCGGTTACCGATCCACCAGTCTGCACGCGCGGACCAATAAGTCATAATTCAGCAATATATGTAATTCCCTTCCCAATTCCCAGTATCTCATGTTTTTAAGAAAGAAAATTTTGAAGAAAAACCTTCGATCACGAAAAAAGTGATTTTGTATTAGTTCTTTTATGGAAGTAGGCGAATTGAGTTATTTGCTAGACTAATGCCTGCTAAGTAGGCTAAGAGACATTGTCATAGTCGAATATTAGTTCTAAACTCGATATGCCTGCTATTAGACGATCAAACCTTGGACGACGTACACGTCGATCAAGAGGAACGTGCATAAGTAAATGAATGGAGACGTGGAGACGCTGGTTTCCGACCAGCGTGGATGCGCTAACACTCCGCTGTTTGTGACGAGCCGCTGATACGAGACCATCGCCCCATACCACTTCGCCCGTGGTTACTACCATCCACGTACAAGACGCCGAACCCCGAAACAAGAAACCCTAGCAAACCGCAGAGAACCCCCGTCCACGACCTACCACAACGAATACGGCATCCAATGCCGCAAAATCGAACATGACACCAAGACCAATCGTAACGAACACAAAGAACCAGCCCACAACGGAGAACACGAATTAGAGGCTACCACCAGCCAAAAGCAAACAAGCAACAGAGCTCTCTGCCCGGACGCGGAAACCAGGATGATGACCCCCGAAACACCGACCACCACACCAGGTGGCACCATCAGCGTGGTGCCGTATTGGATCATCGTTTCGATGGCACATAGGAAGTCTATGTTGACAATAACTTGTCCCAACATGTTCGGTAGGACAAGGAGCGGTATTTGAACCTCCCGTCGATCTAGCTTGATGTGCACCAGTAGAACTTGGGTGATTTCTCTGACCGAGCCGTCGGTCTCCTCGGGAGACGAATGAAACTACGAATCAGCCTATATATTCTTTTGTTGTCCATTATAATTTCAAAAGTTATAAAAAGTTATAATACACACCTATTATAAATATTTTTTACATATTATTATGTAAAAACATAAGACTTGCCACCTTATTCAGAAATAAAAGCGTTCTCCTTTTGCGGACTATTTCTCCTGGGGCAGAAAATAGGCGCTCACATGGCAACGACGTGGCAACCAAGCGAAGACTTTTAATGCATGTTTGTTTAATCGTGAATATAAATCTTTTCGCTGTGCCCACCAAATCAAAGGGTCCTGCTTTTTTTTCAGGTACTCCTCACAGGTATTTATCTACCTCTATCATGGCATCATCCGCGTTGTTGCTTTGCTTTTTACCTTGGTTGAACTGCTTGTCATACTCGTCCCAAATGCCACATTTTGTTGGCGAAGTTTTGTCTGTTTCGATTTTGGATGTCAGATCATCAGCTATATTTTCAACCAATCTTTTTTGAGCGATTTTACCTTTTTGAGCTGCAACAACTTCTTGAAAGCATTCTTCGGATTTAAGACCCCGTTTTTTAAATCTTGGGTCTAGTATGGTGCTTTCCGCATAAAAAATGTTATTCTCCAAATCGCCAAACCGTACGATCATTGCCTCTCTCAGTTTTTCTACGACTTCCTTGAGAACCTCATTATTTGGAATACTATTGGCAATTGATTTCTGCAGCAAGCTGGCCATTATAATAACCTTTGATAAGGTGAAATTATTCTCGGCAGAGACTTCAGTTGTAATTTCAAAAAATGGCTTTAGCATCGGCAATACACCCTCAATCATTTCCCATTCTGCCTGGGCTAGTGCAAGTTCTGGGCGTAGAAGTGACACTACCACCATAACTCCATCTTTAAAAACAGACAGGCGCTGAAACATTTTGTATGTTGAGTTCCAACGTGTAGGCACATCTTGAGTCAACTTGAGCTCAGGCTGCTTTAATTGGCTTTGGATATCATTGAGCTTCTTGAGTCCGGATTGAAAAATACCACAATTGCTTTGGCTTTGACCCTCACACTATCAATTGGTCCTATCGCTTTTTTACAATGATATTTAAAGTGTGGGCAAAGCATGCAAAATGGCGCCAATTTGCTAATTTAATAGCCGATACGATATTAGCAGCATTATCTGATGCAATAGCAGTAATTTTATTTTCAATTTTCCATTCAGCTGCCACCTCCTGGAAAAAAGAGTAAATATTGAGGTTTGTGTGCCTCTCACCAAATTCTTCACAAGCAAGCATATACGTAGATTGTAAGATTATCTACAAAATGCGTGGGTACAGCCATGTAACTTTCATTGGTGAGCGATGTCCATTCATGGATAGTGAGACAAACTGCAGATGCTGATCCCATCTTCTCTTTCACATTTGCACTTAACTTACTGTGTATATTTGTAAGAAGCACATTAGACAGCGTTTTAAGTGTGGGCATCTTATATCCAGGACAATACGAACCATCCTCTATCAGCTTCTTGAAATCCGGCTCCTCCACGATCCGGAGAGCATGGTGTCCTATGGAAATCATTCGCACTAGCTGTTTGTCTAATTGCTCACTTTTATGAGCAGTATGCTGGCTTTTGGGCAAATGCAGTTATTTTTTGCTGCGATGTTGTTGCTGCAGAATTACTGGCCTGAGTACTTCCTTGCCGTTCAACCATTGCTCTGGGAACATCCAGCCATATTCAGTTCCGACTTGCAGTACTTGCAATTGGCCTTTTTCTCGTTTACAGCGTCGAAGTGATTCCATAAATCACTATATTTGCGTTAAAGCGACATTTTAAAATTTGTTTGCCCTTAAATTCTCTTGCCAGAGTCCGCCACAACAAAATGTGAAAAAGTGGTGCCATATCAGCGCAAAAATAGCGAATAAAACGCACCAAGAAAAAACAAACAGAGCTGCCATACCGGCAGCTTCACGATGGTCGGCACGGGAGGCTTCGCTATCTGCTGCTGCTGATAGTCAGACACATTAGCTCGCCAATAAAATATTGGGGAGCCCAGCATATGCCTGGGGAATAGCGACCTCATCCGAAGAAGTCCATTTTATTAACTTTAAACAGAACCAAGCAGCTGTCTGAGCAGTGTAATCGTACGGAATGCAGTGTACATCTCTGGTCACACCACTGGTCGCTAGAAGAATATATGACATTTCTTTGCTAGCAAACAGTTTTTGGATCTGAGTACTAGGCTTAAACAATTATTGTTCCTGTCAAACATGTCAATACTATGCTCATATGTTCAATGGCACTACCTAACACCATTTCCGCGCTTCGAACTAAACCAAATTTTTTTCGATAGATTTGGGACTTTAAACATTCTTATGCCCTCTGCACATTGAGCCCATCCCGGGGGAATGGTGGGAATTTTTGAAAGATGTGAAAACAGCTGATGCTCACAATGGCGTGCGGTGAAAAATTGTTCATATTTATAATTAAAACGAATGTAAATAACATTGCAATGGTTGTGAATGTGATTCAGCAGCAAAACATATTCTTGTACAAGCTAATCATGTTGCTGGACATGGATGATGATAATGCGGCTAACATTGACGAGGAGAATTTATTGGAGTGGATATCTGTTTTGAAAACACTGAAGCGTGGTCATTTGTGACTGCTTATACTAAATCCAATCAATGTTTTAAATAGAAATATAAATTATATGTGTGTTGAGAAGCGGTTTGGGACATTTTGGGAGAAAGATGTACCCAAAAACAACGAGGCGTTTTTAAAGCTAAGTTATGGACAGCCGTATACTTTGGGCTCTTTGTTTTGAGTAAAGAATATTCGGAAGGCTGTCAGCCTATAGCGTGTGCAATATCCTGCTTGAGTTTTGCAGAGCATTCATAAATGAGAGGATTCCATATCAGATTTTTTGTTGTTGTTTTTTTACCATTTTCCTGTCTGTCATTGTTTACATTTTCGTAGTGAATTCCGATTTTTTGTTGTGAATGTCAAATATTTATTGTTTCATTTGACAACTATCGAAAAAATACCGCACAGAAACGTGCGAATTAGGAACATCCCAGATGAATGGTGGAATAACTGGGAAATCTTCAGAACCTTACGGGCCATCCCAGAAATGGATGGTGGATGGTCGTCAGAGTGAAAAGGCTATAAGCATATATTAATTGGTTTGGTTCGAAGCGAAAAAATGGTGTCGGGTAGTAATACAATTAACAGGGCCTGCGCTTAGCCAAACAGAGTTATTTTAACATAAATGCAATGGCAGTTTTGTTTAGAAGTGGTTTGTTTATTCTGTTTGGCCACCTTGTAGAACTACAGCTGACAGCAAATGTTTTCGCAATTTGCATAAAAAGTACGCAAATGTTTGAGGTAACGGAAGGTTAACTACCATATGCTATTTTTTTGAATGCTTAATTAAAAAAAAAACAGATTTCTATAAATTTAATTAATATTAAATACCTTACTACGAATTTGGTTTAATAAAATCCGAATCAAACTAGGTGGTAAGCTCGAACGACCGCTGATTGCGTGCGATTTGAAATCAGCGAAAAATCGGTGTGTGGCACCGCGGAATGGGTATTTACATATTTTTACATTGATACTGAAATGGATGATAAAATACGAATTGCGTAGTCAACAAAAAAAAGGATATCATTGATGACATTGATAGTGTTGTAACGAACCATGGATCCCATATAAATAATATCCAATAAATGTATTGTGAGGACCTATCTCAGGATGGGATATGCATCAGTCGGTCCAGGGTCCTGAATTACGAGATAATTCACGAGTATTTTATTGGGAAAACCGGGAACTTTGCCAGCAACTGAAATAGGACGGTTAGCGAAATCACAACAGTTGTTGGTTCTTTAAAGTTTTAATCGTTTTGTTTATTGTTTCGGTTTATTATGCTACTTGATTAGTTTGACTGCTTGACCGCGTAGTGTATGTTACTTCTTGAATCCTGATGGACTGTCTCTTGGCGCGTTTGTTATTTGCTTGACTGCTATGGTTAATGGACTTCCGATCGATTGCCGATTGACTATGGCTGATGGACTCCCTATCGACTCGAAAGCGAACTGCCGATTTGCGAACTCATTTAGTACAGGGGAAACTCAGATATATATAGCGTTTTCCCTTTCTTGATAGGGAAAGTGCAAGTGCTAGACCAGATCATGACCATTTCGAAGGCATGTTAGGGCAGACTGACCGAATTGCCCGTGCCCTACGCGAAGCTACGAAATAGAGAGCGAGAGAGTGTTCGAGAGAACGAGAGAGCTAAAATGATCGATAGAACGAAAGAGCGACAGAGCGAGAATGATAGAAAGGAGAAAAGCGCGAGACGAAGAGACAAAAAAACGGTTGAAACGGCTATTACAGTGAGGTGGCGGGTGTAGATACATGTCGATTACAATTAGGTACAGTGGGCAGTGCAAATAACGAACAAATAACAGGAATTACTTTAAAGCTGCACCGCTGACTAAACATACTAAATAATGCTCGGCTGGGAGACTGAAAAACGTCTTTATATCTTTCGACCTTTGCTGCGTCTTTGAATTTGTTGGTGTTGATATCTTCACCTGGGAGTAGCGTTGGTTACATCGACTGCTTGTGACGAACCATGGGATTCATGGTTCGTTACAGTACATTCTGAAAACATGTTCCCTTCCCTCTTACCATAAAAACTTAAGAAAGAAGACGAAACGCAAAGTGCCAATGAAATTCCTTTCCCACGGTATAGGCGTACACCCATCGCCTCACCTGGGACATTGGACACTTGTTGGGAGGCGATTGCCTTAGATAACCCTCGGGTACCAGGCAATCCAATCACACGCGCGAGCCCGCCAGTAGTCTCCGACTCCCCTTACAGAGATTATTGGTCACTGGCTGGAGGGCTGATGATTAGGTAGCCCTCGGTTACCGATCCACCAGTCTGCACGCGCGGACCAATAAGTCATAATTCAGCAATATATGTAATCCGGCCTCTGAAGTAGTCCTCGATGGTGGCTACCAAGTAGTCTGGGATTCCTAACCGGGTTAGAGCCCTAAGGATGACGTCCCACCTCGCCGAGTTGAAGGCGTTCTTTACGTCGAGAGTGACCACGAGACAGTACTGCTTCCGTCCTCCAAGCCACCTGGTTCCCTCAATAGCTTTTGCCGCTATGTCCTTGACTATGCGGATCGCGTCCGTCGTCGATCTTGCCTTCCTAAAGCCAAACTGCATCGGGGACAGATCACCTGCCTCTACGACAGGTTCCTGGAGCTTCCTGCAAATGCATCGCTCCAGCGCTTTGCCCACGTTGTCTATCAGGCAGATGGGCCTATAGGATGATGGTTCTTCCGGAGGCTTGTGGGGTTTTGGCAACAGGACAAGCTTCTGCTGCTTCCATGGCTCTGGGAAGACTTCTTCGCATAGGCACATGTTGAAGACATGCGCGAAAGCCGATGGGTGCGCTGTCATAGCCAGCTTCACTGCGGTATCGGGGATACCATCTGGGCCTGGCGCCTTGCCGGTCGGGGTTTCTGCTGCCACTTCCAAAATCTGGCTTGCCGTTATGTCGGTCCATCCGATGTGGCGATACGGTGCTCGTGCCGGGCTGACAGCTGCGGCGACAGTGGGAAATAGACATTCGACGATTTCTGAAAGGTGAAAGGCTTTGCCGCGTTTAGCTTTTTTACTATGACTTTGTATGCGAGACCCCAGGGGTCATTTTCCGCAGAGTCACAGCGTTCAAGGAAGCAGTTCCTTTTGCTTTCTCTGATGGACCTTTTGAGGACTCGGCGTTTCGCGGCGTATTCCTGGGACCTCGTATGGAAAGCCG